GCCTACTTGATAGCAGCCAAATGCCAATTATTGTGAGCCCAATGCTAACCATAGAAATTTAGAACTATTGGGACACTAAAAACTATGCAAATGAGGAAAAAATATTTTAATTGCTGCCTGACCCATTTTCATTTTAATCACTGAAGTACAATTATGTTACAAGCATCCCCCCATTGTTTATTAATTGTATTCCTTTTTTTAAACCACACCCTGTATTTATTCCCTCATAACGGCTTTCCCCTCCACTAAAACAAATAAAACTAAATCCACTAAGCCAAATAAACAGCACTACATTCCTCATTACAATGTGTAAAATAAAATACTCTTCAAGAGACTTAGATCTGGCTTTCATCAAGTTTTAGCTCATTTAGTTTTGCATTAAGAAGAATGGCTTGTTTTACGTCTGTTCCCAAAGCATGTGCAGAAGTAAGGCACCAGGATAGGCAGCAGCTCCCCAACGTACGGTTTACTTACCCCAAATCACCTTGCCTCCTTGCGTCACCAGGCCCAGTTCGCTCACATTCACTTCAATGACGGTCCCTTTGGTAATAACACCCAGCGTTGTGTACAGTGGGGACGAGGGGTTCTTCTTTACGCCAAGTATTGGTAAGCAAAAGGTGGCTTTAAGTTCAGGGTGCGTAACATGTGCCTTCTTGAAACGTAAGCCCTAGTAACATAAGAGAATGTGTCCAAAATGTTAAACACTATGGTGGGTACTGATCCTATTTGGTTTTTTCCCTACTTGTCCAATTCACTGACAGATTCTACTTGGCCCTTAATTGCAGGGCTTTAAGCCGATTCATGACAGACAAAGTGAAACAGGTACAGAAAGCAATTGTAAACATTTGGATGACCCATCACAGTAAACAGAATGGGAAAAAATGACTGATCAAAGCCCAGGAAATCTCCAAAGAGGCTTATTTAGCAAGCCTTTTCAGCAGCTTGATATGTGAGACTAGATTACTGACAGGGCTATGGAGGGCCACACACATTCAAAGTAAGGTCCAACCTACATAGTCTTAAAAACAGGTACATTAATGATGAAACAAGGATTTGGCATATTAAATGACCTGCTTCTGAGTTAGATACTGTTTAGTTTTGAGAATCCATCCCTAGGTCTTTAGATCCCTCAGCTACACTGCATGATGAAAAAGAGGTGGACTGCAAACTTTCTTTCCACTGATGGTAGTGCTGGTCAGACTAAGAAGCCCTGGTGGTTGTAGTGAGTTACACGTTGGGCTGCTAAGCACAGCACAACAGTTCAAAACCATCAGCTGCTTTGCAGGAAAAAGACGAAGCTTTCTACTGCCGTAGAGTTATGGTCTCAAAAAGCCCCTGGGACAGTTCTACCC